TCAGATGAGAGGGCTAGATTCTTTGGGGAAGAATCTGTTCTTTCCCCCTTTTCAGTGGCAATTCATTATTTTTACAAGATTAATCACTGGTCATAAATCTCATGTGTCTAAGGTACTTGGCCTGCTCTTTGCTGCGTCACTGTAAAATATTAATGAATCTAATATAACACGATTGCATCATCCAATGTATGCGTTTTTGAAAGTGGAAGCCAAATGTAAGTAAATTGAATTGGCTGACTTCTAAGAACCAGAGGGTTGTATGCGATAGTTTAGACTGAGCACAATCTCAGCCCAACTCCATTCTGCTCTTCCCCCTTCAGAAACCAAGTTCTTTCATTGCAACCCCCTGTCCGCTGAAAGACTGGTCTTCTTGACCACAAAGGACCATTATGCAGCCTAATGAAATGGAATTTGGAATCTTTCATTTCTTTTCCCTCCATTTCTCAGTGCAAAAACAGTTGTATCAGCTTTGTCCCCAAATGCAGCTGCTCTGCAGGTGTTCGTTCCCTGTAACCCCAACCAGACAGATCCTCATCAGGTCCAATCAAACACCTCACAGTGTTTCTGGAAGAGAGTAAGGTATCCCCTTCTTCCTTGGATGCCCCTTTTTTAACCAGGCCATCATCTGGTGCAGAGATCACAAACTCAACCAGCTATTCTGGATCAAGTAGGGAACGTAAATGAGTAAAGTGAGTAGATAGGGATGATGGTGAATTACAAATTACATGTCCCATCCAGAGAGGGTAGTCACAACTTAGGTCTGGCCAAATTTTTTCACATAAGCATTTGACCTACCAAAGCCAAGTCTTTTCTTTTTTCAAGAGAAATGGTGCATCAGTCAAGAGCCAATCAAGGAAACCACACAAATCCAAACTTTTATGATATATGATATCCCAACTTCCACCTGTAGCTAACTTAAATTTTTAAAACACATACAGGCATACATGCATTATTCACAGATTAAGTCTGTGGTTCTCCAGTTTGTGATAGTGAGGGACAATATTTCTCTAGACAAGTAAATGGACAGAGGTAGCCTCTTAAGATATTTTACTGAAGTTACAGTCAGCTTTTCAGGATTGCAGAACACATTCAGCTCAGTAACTTCAGTCTACTTAACTTCGTGTTCATTCATTTATTTATTCATTTATCCATCAAACATTTATGGAGTGCCTATACTAGGGGATGGTTGTACAGAGAGAAATAAGACATAGAAACTGCCTTAAAGGAGCTTACAAAATACCTACGGGGTCTGACATATAAACTAAATTATTATGGGTATTACCAGCTTTTATAGGAATTTGTTGAATGCAAAAGAGACAAACTATCACTGTTTTTTAAAAAAATCAGCTCTCAAAATCACAAGGCTGCTCCGTCTTGCCCCAATCTCCCTTGGAGAGCTCTTTCCACCCCAACGACTCTTCTCTCACATATGCTAATTAGTGCATATGCTGAAGGAGTTGGGTGTGTTTGCTGGCTGCTTCACACTCATTAAACTTCATAACTCTACTAAACTGTGCATATCAAGAAGCCAGTTATACAGGCCACGCTCTTAGACACTCTGCCTATGTGAATGCGCAAAAATAACTTAAGACAGAAAGAAAGAGTGTTTCTTGTTGCTCTCACTTTTCTCCTCCTGATTTCTCCCTTATTCTCTATACCCCCAATCCCCTTACTTTAATATGCATTTCTCATATAAAGACAGAATATAGCAAAATGCCTGGCAAGAGTTTTAGCCACTAGAAAATAATGCAATAAAACTTAATCTCTGTCTTTAAAAAGTGCATCATTTGCCCTTTGAGACATCCCACCTTAATCCCTAAAAAGTAAATAGATATCCAAATACCCAGGACTGAGGAATGGCATTAGAATAGAAGGGTTTTCAGATGTTTGGGAATTATTCTTTCTCTGCATAATTTACAGCTGGGTTTTGGGGTCTATACACAGTTGAAAATCAACAAGTAAAGACAGGAGCTATTGACATCCTCTGGAATAAATTATAAGCTATTTTAAGGGATAGTTGGTGTTTTTGAACATTTTTTATGTTTCAGGTACTATGTTAGAGGATTTTTGCTGTCTAATTTAAAATTTTAATTCTTACAATTACTCGTTAGAGTTACCACATTTCCAGGTGAGGAAACAGACTTGGAAAAATCAAACAACCTATGTAAAATCACACACTAGTTAGTGGCAAAGCCAGAGTGTAAATGCAGGTCCTTCTGCCCCGGGCTTTTGCCCCTCCCACTAAACCACACTGTTACTTTAAAGCAGACACTGAGTAGATCTTTTCTCAGTCACGATTTTACGCGTCGTATAAATCACTTAGCTGCCACTTGATCTTTCAGCCAAAGAAGTAAAGAACCAGAAAACAATTAAAAATGTCAAACACAGTTGTATATGACCAATTCTTCATAATAAGACTACACTCTGATTTCAGCCATGGTCGTGGCAAAGACATGGGGTAAAAAAGCCTATGAATTGCTTTCCCCGGTAATAAGTAGGATTTGGTAATAGTTACATTCATAAGATAATATTGGTTATTCTCTTGTAATTTACTGCAGGAGTAAACTGGCATCAGTAAGACTGAGGATGGATGAATTGACATATATCCATTTTATAGTACAAAGAGACAAATGTCATTGGTTTTTATTAACATCAGCCATCAAGGTGATAGTGCTGTTTGGCCTCTCCACAATCTCCCTTGGCCCGGCTGCCTACCTACTCCCACCCACCACAGATTCACATGCATTAATTAGTGCATATACTGAAGTGTTTATGTGTCTGCTGTGTGCTTTACACCCAGTAAGCTTCATTACTCTATTGTGCACACAAAGAAGCCAATCACACACCACCTTCTCAGGTTCTCAGGTCTACATTGAAAAGCAGAGATTCTACAGTCAACAGAAGATTGAAGAGGGTCTGGTGTAGACCAAGTTCCCACCCACTCACTTCCCAATTCCATAATTCCATACTCTAGAACTCTAACTAGATAGGACCTGGACATCCATAATGCAAGCACAGGAGGAAGTAGGAAAGTAAATTTTAGGCCTTAATTTTTAGTACGGATAGTTAGGATCAACATGAAAAAAAATCAGCGCAAGAGCAGAGCTTCGCCCTTTCCCTATGATTCTGAGCCAATCCCCAACTCAAGCATTTTTTTCCAGATCCAAAAACCCTTCCATTCAACATTTTACATCACTCCTCCCCTCTCATATTTGCCCAATGATTTGCACTATTTGGAACAAGTTCAGCCACATGATGAGCCCTTGTCTAGTCTCCTTCCTGAAGGAGCCCACAGGGATGGGAGAATCAGCTTCCTGCCAAGGGTGCCCATTCTGCTTCCAAACTCTGTTGATCTGTGGTGGTAAAAGAGACTTTAAATGAAAGATTCCCCTGACCCATTCCAGGGCCCCCTGCCCTTTGCTTCCAGCCCTGGCCCCTCAAAATTAGAGGATGGTATTTTTCCAGGATATCTGTCCATTTGCTTCATGAAACCATTCTACTTTCTTAAATGGAAGTGTTGTTGACCCCTTGATAGCTTCCTTTAATTTTGGTCCCATTTGCAAATGGATCTAGTAAAATTTCATGAAATTTTGTAAGATACAGATAGTCTTCTTTCTGGTGTTGTGTACAGCTTCTCTATGTTTGCATTCCTTTGTTCAATTCAGTTGAGGATGGGAGGATTCTATGACACCTGTGTTCATGTTGTCATTTTCCCTGAAGTCTTTCACTGAGATTTCTTCTATGGTTCTTTGTTTATAAAGCCATATCCACCCACCCCCATTTCTGGACTTCGTATTAAAAATATTAGCTTTCATTAATGGGAGTTTTCTGATGCTCAAGGAGGGATTTTGTGCCCAGAAAAGACTATTTAGAATTACATGGAATTTAAGTATTCAGTATAATAAATTTCCCAATTTAAAACTGAAATTGGCTGCAAATTGAAACCAGAAAGAGATATCACCTCACACCAGTCAAAATGGCTATCATCAAAAAGTCTACAGATAACAAATGTTGGCAAGGATATGGAGAATAGGGAACCCTAGTACACTCTTGGTGGGACTGTAAGTTGGTGCAGCCACTGTGGAAAACAGTTTGGAGGCTCTTCAGAAAACTAAAAATAGAACTGATCCAGCAATTTCACTTGGTATATACATCCAAAGAAAATGAAAATTCTAATTTGAAAAGATATATGCACCCCAAAGTTCATAGCAGCATTATTTACAGTAGCCAAGATAGAAGCAACCTGTGCCCATCAAAAGATGAATGGATAAAGAAGATGGGGTATATATCTATACAATGGAATATTTCTCAGCCACAATAAAGAATGAAATTCTGCCATTTACAACAACGTGGATGGACCTAGAGAGCACTATGTTTAGTGAAATAAGTCAGAGAAAGACGAATACTCTGTGTTATCACTTATATGTGGAATCTAAAAAATAAAACAAATGGGTGTGTATAACAAAACAGGAACAGAGTCACAGATATAGAAAACAAACTAGTTGTTACCAGTGGGGAGAAGGAAGGGGGGAGGAACGAGATAGGAGCAGGGGATTAAGAGATATAAACTACTATGTATAAAATAAATAAGCATCAAGGACATATTGTACAGCACAGGGAAATATATCTATTATTTTATAATAACTTTAAATGTAGTTTAATCTAGAAAAACATTGTACACCTGAAACTAACGTAATATTGTAAATTAACTATGCTTCAATTTAAAAAAAAGAAAAAAAAATAGGACACAAAAAAAGTGCTGAAATTTCCCTTAAGCTTTTAAATTCAAATTCACTTAAAGATTCTTTCATGTTATCTATAAATCTAGTAAATTTTATGTAAAACAAGAACAATAATTTTCAGGAAAATCTTTAATTAATGTATGGCCAACTAATGTAGAATGGACTAAATTACACTTAAGCCATTTAATTCATGGACTTAATTGATTTCCTTAAGCATTTTGAACTGCATTTAGATTAGTATATTTTATTTTCTTTTGAAGAACTTCAAGTGCTTGATCGGGCAGATACATACACAACACTACTAGGCAAATCCTCCTTAGCTTTTACACAACTATTTAGAGTTAATTACAAATTATTTTAAAATATTTCAATAGTCTTTTAAAATTTAAGCAAATTCTCTTAACAACTTTCAGCTTAAAATAACAAACAGCATCAAGTAATATTTTAAAGTCAGAATCACAGGGTTAATCTTTCAAATTTTTTAAATTTTCAAGTTTTCTTCCACACAACAAACTATATAATAGCATACACATATTATTCTGCGTTTAATACAAAATGAGTTAAACTGTGGGTTTGATTTCCTCACTCTCTGAATAATATAATTAGTAAGATGAACTCAAGAGCTATATATCAAACTCTAGACCCCTCAAAATGAGAATGATATTCTTTTAAAACAACAGTGAAACACTGATAAGAATTGACCATGTATTAAGCCACAAAGAAGTTCTACTAAATGGAATTAAACAGGCCATGTTATATAGTCAAAATATAATAAAATTCAAAATAAAGAACAAATAAAAGAAAACCATTAATTTAGAAACTTAAACTTACTTTCATAAATAATTATTGGAAAGAAAAATCAAAACTTTAATAAAATAATGCTTTTAATAATAATACTTGATACCAATACATAATCATTTGACAATATCCCTTGCTGACTTTCATTTTGCTGTTTTTTACCTCTTGATCAATCTTCTTCATTCATCAGTCACTTTAGTACCTGGCTCACTCTTTCCCTCTCTATCATTTACTCTTATCATCTTGGTGAACTTAACTCTATATAGATAATTCATCCAACACCCAGGCTTTCAGTTTCTTGACTTCCTGAATTGCAGGAATGGCTTCTTACACAGCTAATGAAAGAATATTTCTTTCAAATTTGCATTGGAAATGCAAGAATATCTTCATAGTATTATATGATTTATCCCATAATAAGAACTACATTAAGATATAGTTTAAATAGGTTTTATAAGGTTGCCTGACTCTATCATCTAATTATTCTGTTTTTAACACTGGCTGCTGAAATTACAAGCACTCCTTTAATGCAAAATATAATGAAATTAAATACTGAAATATAACAATCTAATGTATGAAAAGACTCAACGACCATTTTAAAACAAGTACATTAAAAACCCATATGCAACGATCTGACTTCTAGTATAAAAATAAAACTACTCCAAAATGCAAACTCCCCCAGCTTGCATGATCTCTATTATTCTGGATGCATAGTTTATATTATTACATAGTTACTGGCTGATTGATATAATTGCGTGTTAGTTGCACTCAATTACTTAGATGCCTCTAACAGTGTCTAAGAATAATGATAAAATATTGATAAAGACATATAAGATCATACCCACCCACAAGGAGATAATCATCTAACTGGAGAGAAAAAATTAGCAAAGATAAAGAGGTAAGAAAATAAATAACTGATTTATGGTATGACATTGACATGTATATAGTATATAGTATATATATGTATATGTATATGTATATAGTACATGGGGGTACTATATAGGTGTTCCAATAGCTGTACATTTCACCCACTAACCTATTGTGAATTATCCAAAAGAGGGATTATTTTGTCATACAAAAAAAAAAAAAAAAGATGGCTATAGATAGGCAGTGCAGGGCTGGTGCAGTAAACCCATGATATTACTAAAATCCCAGTCTACTCTCTTTATGTTCTGCCATCCTTAGCATTTCTTTTTTATTCCTTTGGTCATTTTATAAACACAAGATGACTTCTCCACCTGCAACTTAGAGTCCAGGTTCTAGGAAGAAGATGAAAGAGATAAAAATCATACAATTTTATCAATAGATGCAGAAAAAGCACTTGACAAAATTCAACATTCTTTCATGATAAGAATTCTCAACACCTGGGTATAAAAATAATGTAATAAAGGCCATCTGTAACAAGCACAGTTAACATCAGACTCAACAGTGAAAGGCTGAAAGCTTTTTCTCTAAGATCAGAAACAACACCAGGGTACCCCCTCTCATTGCTGCTATTCAACATGGTATTGGAAGTTTCAGACAGAGCAAGTAGGCAAGAAAAACAAAGTGGCATCTAAATCAGAGAGAAAGAGGTAAAAATTTCCCTGTTTGCATATGACATGATCTTATATGCAGAAAATCCTAAAGACTTTACCTTCCCCCCACAAAAAAATTATTAGAGAGAGTAGAAAAGTGGTAGCCAGGGGCTGGGACATAAAGAAAATAGGGAAGGGTTGGCAAAAGGCTATTAACTTTCAGCTATAAGAGGAATAAGGTCTGAGGATCTAATGTATAACATGATGACTAAGGTTGATAACACTATTGTATAATTGAAATTTGCTAGAAGAGTAGAACTTAAATATTCACACCAATAATGAGAAGAGGAAGAAGAAGAAAAAGAAGAAGAGGAAGAAGAAGAAGAAGAAGAGGAAGAAGAAGAAGAAGAAGGAGAAGGAGAAGGAGGAGGAAGAGGAGAAGGAGAAGAAGGAGGAGGAGGAGAAGGAGAAGGAGAAGAAGAAGAAGGGACTTGGTTCATGAAGACTTCACCTAGAAGTGAAGCTGCTGAACAAACATTGAGAAGGACCATCTCCTGCTTCAATCTGCTGCTGGATAGGAACTAATCAGAGAGAGAGAGGTGGAAGATGGAGAAGGGGGGCATCCAGGGCTTTCCTGATCACAAATCCCACCTCCACTCCAACACTCCTTACACTTTTCTTGCAAAAATAGTAATAGAAACAAGGAGGTGGTGGGGTTTCCAAAAACAAAAATTGTAACCTTCAACCATGTGGAGAAGGCAAAAATCACATTCACCGCAACTCTCAATTCAAAAGCAAAGTTGTACTGCACATAATCAGGTTGTTACTTAAGAGTGCTCTTAAAAGAACACATGGTGTGTGGCTGACAGGGTCTTGGTGCTCCAGCCGGGTGTCAGGCCTGTGCCTCTGAGGTGGGAAAGCTCAGTTCAGGACATTGGTCCGGCAGAAACCTCCCGGCTCCATGTAATATAAAACGGCGAAATTTCCCCAGAGACTTCCATCTCAACGCTAACACCCAGCTCCACTCAATGATGAGCAAGCTACAGTGCTAGACACCCTATGCCAAACAACTAGCAAGACGGGAACACAACCCCACCCATTAGCAGAGAGGCTACCTAAAATCAGAATAAGGTCATAGACACCCCAAAACACACCACCGGATGTGGTGCTGCACACCAACAAGACAAGATCCAGCCTCATCCACCAGAACACAGGCACCAGTCCCCTCCACCAGGAAGCCTACACAACCCACTAAACCAACCTTAGCCACTGGGGGCAGAAACAAAAACAACAGGAAAGACGAACCTGCAGCCGGTAAAAAGGAGACCCCAAATAAAGTAAGTTAAGCAAAATGAGATGACAGAGAGGGCTTCCCTGGTGGCGCAGTGGTTAAGAATCTGCCTGCCAATGCAGGGGACACGGGTTCGAGCCCTGGTCTGGGAAGATCCCACATGGCACGGAGCAACTAAGCCCGTGAGCCACAACTACTGAGCCTGTGCATCTGGAGCCTGTGCTCCACAATGGGAGAGGCCGTGACAGTGAGAGGCCCGCACACCGTGATGAAGAGTGGCCTCCACTCACCGCAACTGGAGAAAGCCCTCGCACAGAAACGAAGACCCAACACAGCCAAAAATAAATAAATAAATTTATTTTTTAAAAAAATGAGACGACAGAGAAACACACAGCAGATGAAGGAGCCAGATAAAAACCCACCAGACCAAACAAATGAAGAGGAAATAAGCAGTCTACCTAAAAAAGAATTCAAAGTAATGATACTAAAGATGATCCAAAATCTTGGAAATAGAATGGAGAAAATACAAGAAACGTTTAACAAGGACTAGAGGAACTAAAGAGCAAACAAACAATGATGAACAACACAATAAATGAAATTTAAAATTCCCTAGAAGGACTCAAGAGTAGAATAACTGAGACAGAAAAACGGGTAAGTGACCTGGAAGATAAAATAGTGGAAATAGGGGCTTCCCTGGTGGCGCAGTGGTTGAGAGTCCACCTGCCGATGCAGGGGACACAGGTTCGTGCCCCGGTCTGGGAAGGTCCCACATGCTGCAGAGTGGCTAGGCCCGTGAGCCATGGCCACTGAGCCTGCACGTCCGGAGCCTGTGCTCTGCAACGGGAGGGGCCACAACAGTGAGAGGCCCGCGTACCGCAAAAAAAAAAAAAAAAAAAAGAAAGAAAAATAGTGGAAATAACTACCACAGAGCAGAATAAAGAAAAAAGAATGAAAAGAATTGAGGACAGTCTCAGAGATCTCTGGGACAACATGAAGTACAACAAAATTCAAATTATAGGGGTCCCAGGGCTTCCCTGGTGTCGCAGTGGTTGAGAGTCCATCTGCCGGTGCAGGGGACACGGGTTCGTGCCCCAGTCCAGGAAGAACCCACATGCTGCAGAGCGGCTGGGCCCATGAGCCATGGCGACTGAGCCTGCACATCCAGAGCCTGTGCTCTGCAACGGGAGAGGCCAGGATACCACAAAAAAAAAGAAAAAAAAAAAAAATTAAAGGAGTCCCAGAAGAAGAAGAGAAATACAAAGGGACTGAGAAAATATTTAAAGAGTTTATAGTTGAAAACTTCCATAACATGGGAAAGGAAATAGTCAATCAAGTCCAGGAAGTGCAGAGAGTCCATACAGGATAAATCCAAGGAAAAACATGCCCAGACACACATTAATCAAACTATCAAAAATTAAATACAAAGAAAAAATATTAAAAGCAGCAAGGGAAATTCAACAAAAAATATACAAGGGAATCCCCATAAGGTTAACAGCTGATCTTTCAGCAGAAACTCTGCAAGCCAGAAGGGAGTGGCAGGACATATTTAAAGTGATGAAAGGGAAAAACCTACAACCAAGATTACTCTACCCAGCAAGCTTCTCATTCAGATTTGACAGAGAAATGAAAACCTTTACAGACAACGAAAAGCTAAGAGAATTCAGCACCACCAAACAAGCTTTACAACAAATGCTAAAGGAACTTCTCTAGGCAGGAAACACAAGAGAAGGAAAAGACCTACAATAACAAACCCAAAACAATTAAGAAAATGGTAATAGGAACATACATAAGCGATAACTACCTTAAATGTAATTGGATTAAATGCTCCAACCAAAAGACATAGACTGGCTGAATGGATACAAAAACAAGACCCGTATATATGCTGTCTACAAGAGACCCACTTCAGACTTAGGGACACATACAGACTGAAAGTGAGGGGATGGAAAAAGATATTCCATGCAAATGGAAATTAAAAGAAAGCTGGAGTAGCAATTCTCATATCAGACAAAATAGACTTTAAAATAAAGACTATTACAAGAGACAAAGAAGGAGACTACATAATTATGAAGGGATCAATCCAAGAAGATATAACAATTATAAATATTTATGCACCCAACAGAGGAGCACCTCAATACATAAGGCAAATGCTAACAGCCATAAAAGGGGAAATTGACAGTAACACAATAATAGTAGGAGACTTTAACACCCCACTTTCACGAATGGACAGCTCATCCAAACAGAAAATAAATAAGGAAACACAAGCTTTAAATGACACAGTAGACCAGATTGCCTTAATTGATATTTATAGGACATTCCATCCAAAAACAACAAAATACACTTTCTTCTCAACTGCTCATGGAACATTCTCCAGGATAGATCATATCTTAGGTCACAAATCAAACCTTGGTAAATTTAAGAAAATTGAAATTGTATCAAGTGTCTTTACCAACCACAACGCTATGAGACTAGATATCAATTACAGGAAAGAATCTGGAAAAAATACAAACCCATGGAGGCTAAACAATGCACTACTAAATAACCAAGAGATCACTAAAGAAATCAAAGAGGAAATTTAAAAATACCTAGAAACAAATGACAATGAAAACACGATGACCCAAAACTTATGGGATGCAGCAAAAGCAGGTTTAAGTGAGAAGTTTATAGCAATACCATCCTACCTCAAGAAACATCTCAAATAAACAACCTAACCGTACACCAAAAACAATTAGAGAAAGAAAACAAAACCCCCCCAAAATTAGCAGAAGGAAAGAAATCATAAAGATCAGATCAGAAATAAATGAAAAAGAAATGAAGGAAACAATAGCAAAGATCAATAAAACTAAAAGCTGGTCCTTTGAGAAGATAAACAAAATTGATAAACCATTAGTCATACTCATCAAGAAAAAAAAGGAGAAGACTCAAATCAACAGAATTAGAAATGAAAAAGGAGAAGTAACAACTGACACTGCAGAAATACCAAGGATCATGAGAGATTACTACAAGCAACTATATGTCAATAAAATGGACAGCCTGGAAGAAATGGACAAATCCTTCGTAAAGCACAACCTTCCAAGACTGAACAAGGAAGAAATAGAAAATATAAATAGACCAATCACAAGCACTGAAATTGAGACTGTGATTAAAATTCTTCCAACAAAAAAAAGCTCAGTACCAGATAGCTTCACAGGCAAATTCTACCAAACATTTAGAGAAGAGCTAACACCTACCCTTCTCAAACTCTTCAAAAATATAGCAGAGGGAGGAGCACTCCCAAACTCATTCTATGAGGCCAACATCACCCTGATACCAAAACCAGACAAAGATGTCACAGAGAAAGTAAATTACGGCCAATATCACTGATGAACATAGATGCAAAAATCCTCAACAAAATACTAGCAAACAGAATCCAACAGCACATTAAAAGGATCATACACCATGATCAAGTGGGGCT